ACATGCACAGGGTGTAAGTTTAGGAGTACAAATGTTCATCAGCAATTCAATACTACAAATGTTCAAGAGAATAAATGCTACACAAGAAAGAGTCCAAAGAAATTAGCGGGATAAGGAGGAATAGGGGCAGCAGAATGGGACGAAGCTTTCTGAATCTAACATTCTGTTGGTGGGGAAAGGGGTGTTCCCCCATCCAAACAGCTTTAAGTGGGTGCATGAAGGAGACAAGGTCTTAAATCAGGAAACAATCGCCCATGCGGACATTATTGATGGCACCTTGTTAGAAGAAGTAGTTTGGGCTCCTTTATTTCCTTTCATTTTACACGACATTCCATTCAATAGACCCAGTGAGGTGGGATGTAATGTGTTGTTTTTTTTAAGAATACTAGTATTGTTAACATGTTCAATATCTGTACGTAAGGTTCATTCAGAAAACCTTGCTCTTTGTCCCAATAAAATAATGGTTTTAAGGAAATGCTACCCTTTTGCATTCTTTCCTTAGTCAACGCTATTTGGTCTACAGCCATTTTCAATAAAACAGTTTCAATGGATTGAAAAAAAGCAGCATCTGGAGACTAAAGCCCTGCAGGTGGCTGCTGATAAATACAGTATTGTAACTTGCTGGCATGAGCCCTCTCAAAGTATTCTGAATACAGGTCAAAAGGCTGGACAAATTCAGAAGTCAATTTTAAATTATAATCTACATGCAAGTAAATCCTTATCCATGCCACCCAAAAGGATCTTTTTTTCCTTTCCTGCTTACATGAGAATGGAGAGTACTGTATACACAGACTCATATCAGTGTATTCATTAGTGTCACAGAAATGCATAGTTATTTCTGGGACTTTACAGCTTAAAGCAGTGGTGGTCATTTCTTTAAGAAGGAATAATCTATTTTTTTCAACTACACATATGAGAAGAATATCCTTTATGTATGCTTTTTATAACTGTTTGGAAAGAAAAGCACTATAAAAAGATAAAGAATTGCTTATTACCATTTTGACATCATAGTACCACCAGGTACTCTTCCTCAATTCATCCGGCCACATATTCTCTATTGCTCTTTATCCACTATCACTTATGTTTCTCATCTCCACAAAAGTAGTAATTGCCTGTATATGTCTTCAAAAGTATGTTTCTTTCATATACTTGCCCTATCTCCATATGTATCATCTAGATTTTCCAAAATCAAGGAGCATGTCTTCAACTGACTTTGCATTTCCCCAAAGCACACCTCTCTCTGTTCAATATGAATATTTAGTAAAATAGTTCACAGTTTCTAAAGGTTTAAAAGATCTAAGAAGGCTATAGAACAACTTCTTAACAGTGGTCAGTTTTGCAGAAATATAGTCAGAGGACAGGAGATAAGTTATATAATTCTGAAGTGTTATTTAATAATGATTATATATTCTTTTATAATAAAATCATAATAAATTAAAACAATTTTTAGAGAAAAAGGAAAGAAGATCTGAAGAAACACACTAATCCTCACTCACCTTGAATGATCCAATACAAGTACACCATCAATTTATTAATCAATAGCACAAATGAGGTGCAGATATGGAGATGAGTTATAGATCTGGTTTCAATGTGAAAAATGAGGAGTATACATCTTTTAATCTGAACCTTGACTTTAACCTTTGCTAATGAAGAAATGGTATTTCTTAGAATGAGATGGAATGTCATCTTGCCATACTCCATCTACTATTATCAGCATTCATTCGTTGAATAATTTTTTAGAACATCTACTATATGCCAGACATTTTTCTAGGCACTGAGTATATAGCAGTGAATAAAGGAGGCAAACTGTCACTATCATCACTGAATTACATTCTAGTTGGGGGTAAACAGACACTGAAAAATAGAATATCTAATAGGTCATATGGTGATAAGCACCTTGAGAAAAAATAGAGAAGGGACATTGGAACTGCAGTGGGTAGTAAAAATGGATGCAATGATCAGATCTGTGAATTCCAGGTCTCATCTTGAAATAGGGCGTCATTAAGCCCGATTTCAGCCCCAGTAGGAGTAGGAGGTGGTGAGAATAGAGATAGAGTTATACAGCTGCCAAATACATATACAAGATTCCCAACTGATTCCAATGGCAAGAATCCCTGCATCCTCTTGCGTTGGCCCTGAAGCTACACAGAAAGAACCTGCTCTGCCAAATTCTTTTTTTTTTTTCTTCAATTATAAAATAATAGCACTTTTAGAAAAATGTACAACCCCTTCTACCAAGAGCACAAGATTCATGGAATTACTGTGCATTGGGGGATCCATAGGATTCTGTTTTCCTCCATAACTAAGATTGGTGAAGGAAGTTTTAACCCAACAAAGGTCTGGGTATCTTAAATATCCTTACTATCAAACAGGATTTGACGCAGGTTTTATGGAGCTTGAAGCTAATACAATTTGGGAAAGTCCTTGTTAAGAAAAGGAATACTAAATTATACTCAATGGGCAAAAACTAAAAGAGCATTTCCATTAAGAACAGGATAAGACGGGTGTCTGCTTTCACTACTCTTATTCAACATAGCACTGGAAGTCTTAGCCACAGTGATCAGACAAGAAGAAAATAAAAAGCATCCAATTTGGAAAGAAGGAAATGAAACTGTCACTTTTTGAAGATCACATGATATTGTACATAGAAAACCCTAAAGACTCCACCAAAAAACTACCAGAATTAATAAATTTGGCAAAGTAGCAGGATACAAAATTAACATCCAGAAATCAATCACATTGCTATATACCAATAGTGAACTCTCAGAAAGAGAAACTAAAAAAAAAACAAAACGAAACTCATTTACCATTGCAACAAAAAAATTAAGCTAGCTGGTAATAAATTTAACCAAGGAGGTAAAAGACCTTGCTCAGAAAAATACAGGACATGGGGAAAAAAAATAGAGGAAGATACAAGCAAGTGGAAGAATATACCATGTTTATGGATTGGAAGAATTAACATCATTAAAATGTCCATACTACCCAAAACAATATATACATTCAACACAATCTCTATTAAAACATCAATAACATATTTCACAGATCTAGAACAAATATTCCAAAACTTTACATGGAACCAAAAGAGACCCTGAATAACCATAGCAATCTTGAGAAAGAAGAACAAAATAGGATCACAATACCAGATATCAAATTATACTACAAAGCCATTATAATCAAAACTGCCTAGTACTGGCACAAGGACAGGCATATGGATCAGTGGAATAGAACACGGAACCCAGAAATTGACCCAAGCCATTACACTCAATATTTGACAAAAGAGGCAAGAGCATATAATGGAGTAAAGACAGTCTCTTCAATAAATGGTGTTAGGAAAACTGGATAGGTACATGCAAAAAAGTTAAACTACACTACCAATTTACACCATACATAAGAATAAACTCAAAATGGATAAAAGACTTAAATATAAAAAATCTTAGAAGAAACCGGAAGTAGCAAAATCTCAGACATCTCACATAGCAGAATTTTCACCGATACGTTGCCTACGGCAAGAGAAACAAAGGAAAAAAATAACAAATGGGACTACATCAAAATAAAAAGCTTATGCACAGCAAAAGAAACCATCAACAAAATGAAAAGGGATCCCACTGTATGGGAGAACATATTTGCCAATGATACATCTGATAAAGAGTTAATTTCAAAAAAAAAAAAAAGAACTCATACAATTTAACAAAAGGAAGACAAGCATTTCAATTTTAAAATGGGCAAAGGACCTAAATAGACATCTCTCCAAATAGGACATATAAATGGCCAAGGACATATGAAAAGATGCTCAACGTCACTAATCATCAGAGAGATGCGAATTAAAATAGCAATGAGATATCGCCTCATACCTGCCAGAATGGCTACTATCAACAAATCAACAAACAAGTGCTGGCAAGGGTGTGGAGAAAAGGGAGCCCTAGTACACTGCTGGTGGGAATGCAGACTGGTACAGTCACTATGGAAAACAGATGGAGTTTCTTCATAAAATTAAAAATGAAACTGCCATTTGACCCAGTGATTCCACTTTTGGAATATATCCTAGGAATCCTGAACACCAATCAGAAAGAATATATGCACTCCTATGTTCATAGCAGGACTATTTACTTAGCTAAGATCTGGAAACAGCCCAAGTGCCCATCAGTGAATGAGTGTATAAAAAAGCTGTGGTACATTTACACAATTGAATACTATGAAACTATAAAAAAGGAGGATCTCTTACTCTTTGAGACAGCATGGAGGATCTCTTACCCTGGAGACTATTATGCTAAGCAAAATAAGCCAGTCAGAGAAAGATAAGTATCACATGATATCACTTATATGTGGAATATAATCAACAAAATAAACTGACAAAATATATCCAGAGACATTGATCCATGGAATAGACTGACAAATCTCAGAGAGAAGGAGGCAGGAGGGGTGCAGGTAGAGATGAACCAAAGAACTTATATGCATATACACATAACCCGTGGACACAGACAATAATAGCACAGCAAAGGCCTGGGGAGAGGGGAAGGGGAGGGTGCCACTAGGGGAAAAGGGGCGGGGGAGCGACATCTATAATACTTTCAACAATAAAGATAAATTTTAAAAAATACGCCACAGGTAGAAGAGTATACTGCACTGACTGAGCCTTGGTGGGCCTTGGTGTAGGATATTTAATAAGAATTGTAATCCAGCATCTGTCAAAGGCTGTAATTAACCCTTCAAGTTTTCTACCTTTCCCTATTCTCTCATCCTGAGGCTTTGGAAAAGCTGATAAATAGCAATGTCCAGTCCTCAAATTATGAGACCCAGAGAGAAGACTAAATGAGTAACAACAACAAACTTTCTGAAGGGTGACTAGAGAAATTCACCCACAATCTTTCAGATTAAATACAATGGGTAAAACAGTCTATATCACAAATGAGCAGTATGAAAATAATGGCATGACAGATATATAATCATTCTTTTGAAAAAGAAAAAAAAAAGGATAAAAAAGAATAAATACTGAATGAAAAAGTAAATTTTATTGATAAGCTTATGTCAGACAGACAAGCAAGGCCAAAGGAGGAAGTGCTGTCAAAGACCTCAGGAGTGCAGAGCTCGCCACTTGTCCAGAGGTCCACGATTGGGGACATATTTGACTCCACAACCATCAGGGATGAGGCACTTCTTAGCCACTTTGTTTTCAAATTCATCAGCATTAAACTTGGTAAAGCCCCACTTCTTGGAGATGTGGATCTTCTGGTGGCCAGGGAACTTGAACTTGGCCCTGCGTAAGGCTTCAATCACATGTTCCTTGTTCTGAACCTTGGTGCGGATGGACATGATGACTTGACCAATGTGGACTCGGGCCACCGTACCCTGAGGCTTTCCAAAGGCACCTCGCATGCCTGTCTGGAGCCTGTCAGCCCCAGCACAGGACAGCATCTTGTTGATGCGGATGACATGGAAGGGATGGAGCCGCACTCGGATGTGAAAGCCATCTTTGCCACAACTTTTCACCATGTATTTGTTGGCACAAATTCGCGCGGCCTCCAGGGCTTCAGACGAGAGCTGCTCGTACTCATCGGACACCATGTGGCCACAGAGTGGGAACTCATCCACTTTCGCCTTCTTCCGACCCAGGTCAAAGATGCGGATCTTGGCATCAGGGACACCTCGGCAGAAGCGAGACTTCGGATACGGCTTGTTCTTACAATACCGGTAACAGCGAGCTGGACGACGGCCCATGGCGACACCAGCAACCGTTGCAGTGTGACGAAGAGAAGCGCTCGCTCCACACCACGCATGCGTCTTACATGCATTGCCCATCTACCTTCACGGGAACCATAGAGTTCCGCGGAGGACGTGAAGATGCTTTTTTACGACATCCCTCCATAGATGCCGCAATACTATGTACCTGCTTGTGGACACGACTTGGCACCTGCCCCTTGGTGTACTCGCCAGTCGGCTGCCAGGTAAGGAATTGGCCTTCCACAACGGCGGCTGGAGAAGCTGTTTCCTTCTTGCTGTCCATCCTGGGTGCAGAACTTTTGCCCTAGGCTTTGTCTTAGCATAAAAGACACTTTCCTAGAGATTAACTAAGAAAGGTCTCTCTAGCTAGTCAATATGCTGTGCTGTGTCTTGTTTGTCTAAATAATATATATTCCAGAGTTCGTGCCTCCCATCAACAGTTGTATATCAATTGCTGTTTTTCAAAGAGTATTTGGTCACCTTCCCTGGGGAAAGTGGCATCTTGGCGTGAGCTCTCCATAAGGCTCAGAAAGAGCTGAGCTGAACTACAGTGGTGACAGGGATAGAGAGAAGATACCTGTTCTATGTACTGCTTGATGATTGCTTTAGAAACCTGAAACTCTGGTTGTTTTATGTATTTGACCACGTGGAATTATTTTATTATCAAAACAGCATCCACAAAATTGAAATACCAACTGAATTTTTTAACTTAAGGCTATGCATTTTCAAGCCTTATTAATCTTGTATCTTACTGTGAATGAGTTTAATAGTTTTTTTCTGTGACTATAGATTTTGTAAAAATATTATGATTAGGATCAGAGTGTGGGGAAGGAGGAAAATAAAAGATAAGAAGAATTTTAAAAAAAGAAAAGGAATACTAAATTATAAATAAAGATTAGGCATAAAAGTGAATATTTATTTAAATCAGAAGAGAAATCCAAACAAAGTATATAATTCACCAAGCGCACAACCACCACAATCATCACAGAATGTAGGCGAATAATCCAGATGAATCTGGCTCTGTACATTTCAAGTCTGTTTGTCCTCAACTACCCAAATGTGTCAGAGATGAGCACAAGAGAATACAGTCTCTGACCCTGCTTCTTCGTTGTCATAATGAAGGCTAAACCAACTAAATATTGGAAGAAGTTTCTACACCAAGACATTTCCAATTTAGCTTCCCTTAGCCATTTCCCAAATATTCACAGCCACTCAAATACCCTCAATTGGAGAGGGAGTAATAATTTTACAAGGTTTCCAGATTTTACGGAGGAGAAACTGAGACTCAGTTTGATCTGAGGCAAAAGAATAGTAAGCCTTAAGTCTGGAATTTAAGCTTGTTCTTTTTACTATCCTAAGTGATATTTTCTTAATGAAAGCTGCAAATAACTAGAAAATAAAAGTGAGTATAGGAGACAGACAAGATTAAAGAGAGGATTATCATTAATGGAAGGATTTTACTCAATACAAGCTAAAAACTAGAACCAGGTAGTTGGGTTTAATATATTAACAAAGTACAATTTTAAAATATTATGGAACTGAGCTGAATAGATTCCAATCTCTATAATAATTCTTAGAAAATTCCTCTATGTATCCCAAAATAGAAAGGGCAAAAAGAGAATTCAGCTCACCTAACACCTTTCTCTATCACCAACTCCCAACGTCAATTTATCACCCACACTTTTATCCTATAACTCCTCGAGCAGTCTCAGACAGTTTTAAAAAATCTTATCATCAAGCAGGAATAGATCCAGGTTTTATGCGCCAGTATCTGACTTCTTACTGAATAAATCAGGCTGTTCTACACTGTGCCTCTCTACCAGGTGTCCCCTGAGAGGATCTTGGGATTATGAAGCCATCGGTATATTCCTGAAATGTGGCATTTTATTAAACACTTCACAGTAAGCTCTATGACAAAGAAACTAAAGCATTTTTGGAAGAATCAACCTGTCAAATAATATTTATTGAGGGACTCTCACTGCTAGGTACTGTTCTGGGCTCCAGGACTTCTGCAGGGAGCAAGACAAGCAGACTCTGCCCTCAAGGAGTTTACATTATAAAGAAGAAACAACAATAAATATTTACAAAGAAATAATTTTGAGTATTGATAAGTGTAATGAAGACAAAACATTAATGACTAAGGTTGAGTGGACTGCTGTACAAGAGGTGGTATTTGGGTGGAGATCTGGATGTAAAAAGAAAGAAGCTATGGGGAGATCCGGGAAAAAACTGCCCGAGGATAAAGTACAGGAAGTGCAAAGTCCCCAAGGTGGAAACGAACTGAGAATGTCCTGAGCACAAGAAGAAAGTCAGGGTAGCTGCAGCCCCATGGACAAGGCAGACAGAAGATGATGACATCTGGACAGTAGGCAGGACTAGAATACACAGGGCCCAGTGCATCCTATGCATTAATAAACTTGAATTTTTTTCTTAGTAACAGCAGAACTCATTGGGTGCCTTTAAGCAGCAAATGATGTTATTTCCACTTTAGAAAAAATAATTCTGCAGCATGAGAGAAATGATGCAAGAATGGAGAAAGGGAAAGATCCAGGCCAAAAATACAAGTTTAAGAGGCAACATATTTTAAATTTTAGTTAAAGTCATGGGACTTCACAAGGCCACCTCAAGAGAAAGGGTCCACTGAGTAGACAGGAAGGCTGAGTATAAACCCATTAATGTTTAAAGGTCTGGGAAAGGAGGCCGTTGGGATTTGTCAGACACCCTAGTTCTCAAGTCAATAAACCCAATACCTCCGGTAGTAGGAAATTCTATACCTGGATGTTGCCCCATCTGCCTGGAGCTGGAACAAATGTGAATAATGCTTTTCCAATGCTAATATTTGCACTGAAGAACACCATGGACAGGGAACACATGTTGAGTTTCTTGACCTACGGGAGTGTGGTGATTGAACATGAAAGGCTAGATAAGATGTTCCATTTGGGGAAGATGGACTCAAATACCTCAGAAAGACAAGCTGATAGAAGGTAGAAGCAGAAGGAGAGGAATAATTAAGAAATGGAAGAAGCCCTCCCACTCTACCTGAACAAAAAATGGAAAAATGTCCTCGAGTGAGGATAAAAAAAAAAAAAAAGAAATGGAAGAAAAGAGGCAAGAGAGGGGAGAAAAAGAAAAGGACAGAAAAGAATACCAGCACTAATTTAAGAAAAAAGTACATCATAAGGGCAATGTTATATCACAGGCTAGTAGGTAATTCTGGGTGGTATATAGATTCTTAAAAATAGTTATGTGTTATGCATTTCTTTTACTGTTATTTTTTTGGCAACTAAATTGTTTTTGTTTTGCATTTCCAGGAGTGAGATAATATTTCCCACTTAAAAAAACAACAGCAGTTATTTCACACAAAAAATAGAAATCAGTTTAAGGAAAAAATATTTATATACTAAATTCTTAATCTCTAGAATCTTCAGGCTCCTTATCAATACAATGGGATATAACCTGCCTTTCAGGGTTCCTGTGATGACTAGCAATAAGGGTCAAAACACATCTGGCGAAGTGCCTAGTTCTCAATAATAATTAGCTAATTTTATTACTATTTATATTTTTAAGTACCTAGCATGTTCTAAGTGTAATAAAAGTTATTTTGTTAATGGAAATACAGAAAAGCAATAGAAATGTTAAAAAAAAGGCAAAATCTGGACAATCATATTACAAGTTAGCAGAAAAAAAGAATGGGGTGGTCATTAACGACAATGGATTAAAGCAGAAACTGAAATTAGAAAATAAAGAGTAGATTAGAAGAAATTAGAGGGTTGGAAAAAAATTAGGAGTCAGGTATGACAGAAGACAAAATGGTGATGTAATTTTGAGGTGGAGCTGAAGGATCTGGTCCCGAATCAGACCGCTAAGCATAAAAGAAACGCAGAGGCTCTTGACCTGGGGATGATGGGTGGGCTCTGGGAGATCCTGGAAACCTCTAAAGCTGTGCGCTAGACTGTCATGTATGCAAATATCAGAGCAAGCATTTTTCTGAGAAGAGGGTCCATGTATCCCATCATACTTTCAGAGATTTATTACCTCAGATTTTTAAGTGTTTGCTGACTGAGCTAGATCAATTCATCAACTAAAAACATCTGAACGCTGTATTTTTATACAGGGACTAACCCAAGTTTGCCAAGTGCTAAAATGGTGTACTTAAAGTGTCTGGGAGAGAGGGGGCAAGTGTCAAGCTTAACCTATAATGGGAAAATCACAGTCTCATCACCGTTATTTTCTAAAGTGGATATGTGGTAGGCCATGGCCAGACCTGCTAGAGGCTTGATGGCTGAAGAAGCAGTTCATAGCTGAGGACATGTAGCTGTGGCAAGATATTCATTCCTTAGATGACAAAGAGATTGATCCTTGAGTGTTGACATTCTAAGCATTAGAGAAGGCAGCAAGCATGCCCTTCTGAGTTCCTGCCTCCACAAGAAGGCCCTGACCACCACACTTTGGGCATACCTCTAGAGGAAATGGGGAGCCCCAGAGGAGTCATTTCCAAACACTCATACCCCTAATCTCATTGTGCCCCTTTCACTACTTCTTTCTAAAGAATTGGAATTATCAGCACTCTGAGACCAAATTTAAGTCATCTTCGTACTAGACCATCTTTAGGAAACAGAGTCAGCGAGCCCCAGGTAACTATGTAGAGGTATTTGGAGACTGCAGTCGACATATTTTATCACAACTCAGTACTCTTGTAAATATTTCATAAATATCTGTAATTTTAAAAGCAAGCTTACAGTTTAGCACTTCAGTTGAAACATGGATAAGGTTTATTTCAAAATAGTTGTAACTCACTCTAAAATATATCTTGTTTGTTAATTTCTCTAGAGAGAAGCAAAAGAAAATGGGCCTCCCAAAAACGAGGCCAAATTCAAGGGAAAATGTGAATTCCAGAATATATTTTCAAATATCTTTCCTTCCTAAATATTCCTAAACATTTATAAATGTCCTTCTTACAGACTGTTTTTTGTCACGATATAGAGGTGAGAAAAAATGGGAGTGTGTTTCCCATGGTTGAAAGGGGGTCACAGTGCAAGTTCTTCAGGCAATGCATCAGAAACAAAGTAAAAA